CCTCACCACATCAGGATACACTTGTTCTACTGAATTCCGGTTTCAAACGGAACGCTGTGTTGCTGTGCTTCTTCTGCAGGTGCTGAATCAAAAGTAGACACATGCTGCTGTCTCTCAGTGGTCCGTGTGGTCAGAGAGGGGCAGCCCCCTAACGGCCCGCTGCACTCACACACCTTTGAAAACCTCACCCACCCCTGCTTCCTCCCTCTGGGCCTGACTTCCATCCTCACCCGTGGTACTCACTGCTCTCAGGCTTATCACCGACAGTAAGTGAGTAATACAATTAGAAATATCTCGCTTTCACCGCATCCTCACCCCATCACCTCCCCCTCACGACACTGACATTTTCACGTGATTCAAACCTTATCACAAGGCGACTCTCAGTTTAATTGAATTTGGTTACATTTCAAAAATGTACATTATTCTGTAAAAGTTTTGCATGTTAAGAACTAAAGAAGTCTAAAACTGAGGTCAGAGGTCACTACACCAATCATGTTGCTCGACCTCTAACCTCAGCTATGAAGCCCTTAACTCTCAGAGTGTGATATTTAATTAGCAAACACAGCACAGATCCTGAGGAGTAATCTGAAGTCATCATCAGCCTCTGACTTCAAATCAAATATATTTAAATATACGTTACACTTAAATAGTCCCAACATGAATCAACGCTCCCACCAACACTGTTTAACCCCTGCTTTTTGTCTTACAGGCTTTGTTTTCATAAATATTCATCGTTCTGTGTCTTCTTTACTTTGTTTTTGTTTTGTTTTTACTTGTTTTCCCGCCTCTTTGTGTTTAAGGTCGAGTTGAAGCTTTTCACATAAAACCGTACAAACGAGAAAAGAAGGGATATCCTCACCCACGGTCCCCACTTTGCTAAGCAACATTGCCCCCTAGTGTTAGCAGATAAACTAGCTCATGTTTGACATCAGGTATTATCTGGTTTGCAGCAGAAGGTTTAAAATAATTTCTTATAAAATTCTTATTTTAATGTGTTTAAACTGATGTATTTTAACCAGTGCCCCCTGCAGGCGGTTTTATTCATTAATGCCCAGGTACTATATCATCGTTTTACATACATTTTTGTACTTACTGAGTTTAACTGTATTTGACAATAATACTAAAAAAAGCCATATATACAGTAATAAGTGGAGCTGCAGTTTATGAGCGGTTTCATGCTTTGATAAACTGATGATATCACCAGGCAATAAAACTAAAATAGAGATATTGTACGTTTGTAATGACTGCGTCTCTGTGCCATGAGGGTGCCAGTTATACTTCTCGGTCACTGAGGGGTCAGTGAGGGGTCAGAGGTGACGACTGTGCCACTGCACCGACACATCAACCCAGTCACACGCTGTGAGTCCTGCTGATGTTTTCCATCAGTCTTGCGGCTCACAGACGTACGTACTGACGCAGGTGGCAGACGGAACAGCGCTCCTCTGAGGGACGTGCCGGATAACTGCTACCCAGGCTGGGCTTCCGGCCCTGGGCCAGCAGCGCTTACCGGTAGCCCTCACACCCTGCAGCACCCACCACTATCACCCAGCTCCAGACACTGAGCCAGGATACTGTGGTGACACAACACCAAGCCCCTGTTCCTCCTTTGTCAACAAGACTGATGGAAGCAGAGAGGAGGAGAGGTGAGGAGCAGAGGAGGACAGGACAGGAGGACACACTGATAATAGAAGGGTTTACCACCGCTGGTGAGCACAGCCCCGAGGAGGTAACGTCAGGATCTGGGTGTGAATGTGAGAAAAATGAGCAGTTTGAAAATAAACATGGAGTAACTGAGAATTTATCTGTGATGATATATATATCTGTATATTAATAATAACATAAAAGGAGAATCTTTATTAGTCATCACATTAAAAATAAAGTCAATGAGTTCATTTGTTTTATTAGAGACAGGAACGTAGTCTGGATATATTTTAAATATTCTAATTTTATTTTGTGTTCTGTCCTAAACTGTAATACAGTATTATTGTTAGTCAGGCTGATAAAATAAGACGCCACCAGGGGGCATAACAGGATGTACACCATTGGTAACGTTTCCCAAGCATCCAAATACACGCTGCACACAGTGTCACCCTAGTGGATCATTTTATACATTTTTTAAATTTTTTAATCCTGGTGAAAATGTATAAAAGTCGAAAAATACAAGCAGTCATTTTTAGTCTATTGCTATTTTTATTCGCAAATTCACTTTTCCCATGTCTGTGTTCATGCAATAATTTATTTCGGATGACGTATCTCCATATTCACAACATATGAAATTACCGTAACTCTTGATTTAATGTGCATGTGGGGAAAAAAAATCAGACATCTTTTTTTTAATTATTATTCCTACAATTTTTTATCTGCTCTAAACACAACAGTAACTCTTGATTTAATGTGCATGTGGGAAAATCATCTTTTTATCTTTTTATTCCTCTACCTTTTTATCTGCTCTAAACACAACCGTTACTGAAACATCCGTGACGTCATCAGTCTTAGGACGTCCCCGAAAAGTTCCTGGGCCGCGTTTTCATCTCCACCTTCTTGAAGGAGTAGCGTTCTCCAGTGCGTCCGTCCGTCAGGATGTACCACGTGCCCCAGTAGATGCCGTTGGTCACGCCGCTGTAACGGCCGCGGTAATACCGTCCATTCAGATTGGCTGCCAGACAGGCGTCGAACCACCAGCCGGTGCCGTAGTACTGACCACAGTTTCCTGCTGCGTAGCGGTCATTGTCTCTGTCAGCGGTGCTGAAGGATCGGCCGTCGTGGTTGTACCGTTTGCTGTAGCTCAAGGCGTTCCCGGCATCACCGGAGTACTCCCGTGCTGTCAGACGGTACCTGGGTGGGGAGGGGGCGGGAGTTAGGAGGGGGGGAGGCAGGGGGACGACGACCATGACAACACGTGACACAGGTGCATGTGGTGCACAACACATCCGGTTTATACATGGATTACTGCGAAACTGAGAGACACAGATGTGAAACCTAAAGTCAGACTTCACTCTGTTAGAAGCGGGAGATTAATACAAAAAATAAAAAATAAAAAAGTTTCATTTTAAGAAAAAAAAAACAAAACCCAAAAAACTACTAGGCAATAATATTGAAATGGACTTGACTAGGAATTTTTTTTTTTCAGGCCAGTACTCGACTGAACAAACTACTGAATGTTATTAATTGTCAATAGTATTTTGTATGTTTGATCCCATGATGGCATGTAATTAATTAATTAATTAATTAATGATAAGATTAGTCTTCACTTTGATCATGTCTAATTCTGTGTCCATCTTTGTCCACTATATTTAAGATAGTTCCAAGCTTTTTTTGTTAAATCTAAACAAAATAAATAACCAGACCATTGGTTTCTATATAATAATCATTGTTTCGAAGGAAAAAACCCCTATTTTTCCATTGATTTTTTCCATTAGAATAAAAAACCAAATCCATCCTCATCCATCATCTACTACAAAAATAAACTTCTGTTTCTGTGTTTCACCTCTGCGTCTCCGAGGCCACTTTGAAGTTGTTGTAGGTGGCGTGGCGCCTCTGATGGTGCCAGTCCTCCAGCTCGATCCTGAGTTGGTGTTGACCAGTGGAGGTGAGGGCGTGGAGCGCCGCGTTCCCCAGCCAGTGCTCTCCCTGTGGACTCCCAAAGCCTTCCCGGTATTCCTGCCACGTCCTGTTGAAGTTGAGGGAACCATCGTGCCGATTTTGGACCACCGTCCAACCACCGCCCGCTGTCTCCATGTCACATTTAGCCTGAGTCATAACAAAGACTTTGGTATTATGAAGCCTTGATTATATCAGATAACACACACACACACACACACATTCAGAGCAGGTCGCAGGGTCACTGTGTGTGAATGTGTTATGACCTCCAGTGGCGGCCGATGCAGGTCCGGCTGGATGGTGTAGATTCCACTGTCTTTGATGCCCAGCTTGTAAATCTCTGCACAGTCCTGAGGATGTAGCCTCTCTGAGGGGGGCGCTGTGGAGCACATCACTTCTATGAAGCTTGTTTCTTTAAATGAATTGTGTCCTGAGCGATCCGTCGACACAGCCTTACCTGTAGGCGGGTGTTGGGTGATGCTCTTCAGGAAGAGCAGCAGGTCCCTCTCCCCTTCTCTCCCCACCGCTGCACTCTCTGTGAGGCCAGAGAAAGATTAAGTTGTCAGTGAAACAAACCACACTGTCGTCAGGCTCTGAGAATAGAAGTCCAGTCTTTAGTTACGGCGCTGAGGCTTTCCAGTTTGTTTGATAACTCTTTCAGGGCCTGACCACACGGCGCTCTCATCCCTCTCTGTGCTGCTAAATTCCTATGCACTCACCTATGACCGACACTCGGCCGGCCTCATTGAGCTTCTGTTTACTATGTGTGTGGGGGGAGCGAGTATGCTGGCATTTATGTGTGTGTGTGGTAATACAAATGTGAAGCCCTCTCACCTAGGCGTTTGGCCATCAACCCCAGGGCTTGGCTGTGACAGTGGAGGTCACACTCTGTCAGCACAGCTGCCATTAGTGCCAGGATGGCCCCCAGAGAGTCGCTCTCCTGGCCTTCAGGACTCCACGCCCCCCCTGTTTCCTGGACAGAGCGCATGCAGCGCTGCAGCTGCACCAGCCGTTCTTTGACGCCTCTGTCCTGTGGAGACGAAGCCCACAGGTACTTTTGGCAGACCACACATTGACATTTTGTTGCTCAGTTTAAGAGGTTTGGTTTTGGGCTGCCGGCCCGTGAGCAGCTCAACTTAAACACTAAATGTTGGAATGGGACGGAGTTTTCCGGGGGTTTACTACGGCCGGGGGAGTTCGATGAGACTTCATTGGTCCTAAAGGAACAGTAGCTAACCTTGTAAGACCAGGCGTGGGCAAACTTTTTGACTCGCGGGCCACAATAGGTCCTAAACGGGGGCCAAGTCAGGAGCACATAAATGGAGCGTTTGTGTGAAGCAGGATAAATGACATGGAAAAGTCATGCATAAAGGCTAAAATGCTAAAATGCTATTGGGTAAATGTGGTCATTGCAGGGAAAAGGCAGAAGTATAATGATAATATAAACTAATAGTATAATTTGGACAAGTTTGGCGGCCCGGATTAAAATGCCAAATGGGCCACATCTGGTCCCCGGACCATAGTTTGCCCATGTTTGGTGTAGACCCTTTAGAATACTGAGGGTCTCCTTGGAGGAGGTCAACACTGTTGGATGACTTTATTGATGAGGCGGATTAAAACTTTTATCCTAAAGTATAAAAAAATGCACTTAGCTTTAGAAACTAGCGATTTTAAAAACTAGCGGTTGTCAAGTAGCCTCGCTGGTTTAGCGTAGCAGCTGCTGATCTGAGGGGCTGTTCTCCAAAATGTGTCTATACAGTCACAGCCTGTGATGGACAGTTGAGGCTCGGCCCCTCCCTCACCCAATGACCCCAGTGACCCTGAAAAGGATTGAACTATATATATATATATAAAAGATAAAGAATAATTTCTACTTTATTTTAAAGGGAATTCCGACTGCAGACAGGGTGGATGGATGTGCATCATTCGCTTTGAGATGATGACATCTCACAGTGGCATGTTTGGTGTCACCACTAATCCGTCACTTGCACTTAGATCAGTCATTGTAATCACGTCCCCTGTCCACCTGTTGCTGCATAAGCTCAGCACAACCGTACGATGAGGACATTTTCAAAGCGGACCTAATTTTATCCCGTCTGTGATTGCTGACTGTCATTGCTTGGTGGCTGCGAGGTGGTGCCAAGTTTAGTGCGCCCACTGTCCCAAGAGAAAGAACCTGCTGGCCCGGGACCAGTCTTTGTTGGCACATGTCTGCAGGGCAGATCTGCGGGGGTGAAGGGGGGGCAGCTACAGTTTGATCCCTGCTTGTCATTCATTACAGCTGTAACTTTTCTGTCGCAGGGCGGCGAATTGTCACATTAAATACTGCAGTACTGTCTGTTCATAAAAAGTATGTACATCACATTATGAGCTGGCGAACGTCACTTACCTTAGGCTGAACCTGGGGGAGGTCATGCCTGTGCTCCGCCCTGCGAGGAGCGTCTGCCACGGCGGCCAGTGAAACAGCCATCCTGCAGCCCGTTGTCCCGGTCTGACCTTCACAGGCCCCGGAGCCTGCTCCCCCTGCCCCCGCCCCAGGTGAGTTGGGTGCAGCCACCAGGCTGTCCCTGCAGGGAGACACTGTGCAGGCGGGGGATGCATCTAAGGAGAACAGGGCACCCACGTACAGTGACAGCACAGCAAGAGGACCAAAGGGAATCATGGGAAAATGCAGACTTTTTCTAGACTTTGTCACAGTGTCTCAATGACCAGTGGTCTGCGGGGGTTCTCCAAAGTGTCGGCTCCTCCGGTGTCGCCGGCCCTCAGCAGATCTTTACTGCACTTTTCATTTAACCAGTGAGTGTCTCTGCTGATAAAAACAAAACAACCGCTGTCCTGGTCTTGATCTGGTCTGTGCTGTGGTCCTCCTCTCTGAGCTTCTTCTTTAATATTCTGCTTCTCCTCTCACCGGTCGTCCTCCTCCTCCTCCTCCTCCTCTGTCTCCTGCTCCTCTTTGTAAGTGAGGTTGCTTTGGCTCAGATTCCTAGATAACTGCGGCACTCTTTGCTGTCTGACATGGACTAATGCACCCACCCCCTGATTCATGCAGGCCCACACACACGCACACACACACGCACACACACAAACAGAGTCCATCTTCCTAACTCATTTGCTCCCACCCGGTTATGAGAACATTTACAACCAACCAATCATAACGGTCACCAGTCACTCATGCACAAACACTTTTGTTTTTTTTTTTATCGTATCCAGATTATAATAACAGTTGTAATTGTCTGTGCCTCACAACTCACCGTTTGTGTGACAGTGTTTGAAGAGATGCTGCCTCAGATATGTGACTTCTTCTTCTTCCTTCCTGTGGACCATTTTCACATCCTTTGCTACCATAATGGTGGTGTTTACAAACCGAGTTCCACAGAAGCCATAAAGACTTTACACTGAATAGGTGGGAGACGGCAGGAATTCCTCCATAAACACCAGTGTCACCCTCAGTCATCAGGAGCCAGCGCAGGCACACTCCCAAATAACTGGGAGCGCAAACACACATGTTAGCGCAGAGCAGAGGGGAATCAGGTCGAACCATCTCTGCGGCTCATTCACGAGAACCGGTCGCAGCACCACAAGGTTTTTAAGATCACAACATTTAAGAATAAAGTCAATAAAAAAATATTCCACATCTTACCTGGTCAATGTTCGCAAACAAAGAAGATATTAGCTCCTGTCAAGATTGCATGTTCTAGAGTAGCTCCATTATTCGTTTGTGGCAATTTATGATCTACACCAGCCACAATTTTTACTGTGTTACTGCAGAGAGCCATATGATAAACATGGGCACATGTGAACTGACCCATCCTTTAAAAAAAAAGGGAAATTGAGTTTTCCCTGCATAATCTTTTCTGCAATGGCCATCGGCATGAGATTCAACATGAAGGTAAGAGCCTCATGAGACCGGGCAAAGAGCAACATGTGGCCATGTCAGATCTATACGTTCTATGTCAATATTAACAATTAAATAAATGACTAATAAATACTTTAGAACACAAGAAATTGCTTCTTTTTTTTTTTGCCTTTAATTATTTTGAATAATATTATGGACAAAATGGTTTAAATCCACACATCAAAGACATCGTTTATACAGAGACATCAATGTGTTAATAATAATTTAATTTAATAATTATTTTAATAATGATTTTTGTATCATTCCGTGATTGTTGACTGATATTTGTTTAATTCACCAAGGAAATGGGAACAGTGATGGTCAGCTGAACTGGTATCTAACCTGGACTGTACAGTACAGGGTCAGGGGTTTGATCCCGGAGTAGTCCGCTGCTGCCTGCTCAGGAACCTTATTAATCCCCATGATGTTGTCATTGTGCTGAATTAATTTGTAAATCCTTCTCCTGGTGTTCCGTGTGTAATATGATGCACAGCCCTCAGTGGGTTCCTTTCATGTGTGTCCTGTGTCAGTAGGTTTCATCAGATTCGATAATAATCCTTTGATTTGTTAAACACAGTCTGCTTGATCAGCGTTCCCAATCTCATCACGCCGCCTTCTCCTGGGAATATCGCACGGACGGTTGGCTGGATTATAATGGAGAGAGTCAACAACAGGGACTACAGAAGAAAACTGTGATTTGCATCACACACACACACACTCACACACACCTTGTTTCCAGCAGACTAGCCTCAGTTGCAGTATGTGCATAGCTGCGTCCACAGCTTTGTTCGAGGGATTATCTTCTCCTCTTCTTTGAGTTAAGCTTCACGTCTTGTGAGATTTTTCTGCAGTCTTACTTCCCCGTGCCTTTTCAGTCCTATCCACTTATTTTTTATATGTGTATATGTAGGTCAGACTCACAGGAGATTGTTGGGGCCTGTGCAAAGCCTGGCTGACTGGGCTTCTTATGTGAAGTGTGTTTTGGATCATTTTACTGATAGTGAAGACGTCCTTTTCTCAGCTTTTTTTTTTAAGACAGTCTGACACTTTACTTTCAGAATTTTCTTGTTATTTATTCCAATACATTTTTCCCTTTCAATGATCCTGTGCTGCTGTCAAACAACAACTGGTCGCAGTGAAGACTTCTGCTTCTTATTCTTTGTTTAAATGTTCTCTACACTGAAGGATGACCTGTTGAACAGTTATCCAGAAGAAAATGCATCTTTTTCTTTTCAGAAAATCCTGGGTTTTTTTTTCTGAAACACAGAATGGATCTAAGTAATATAGTCCAGCTCTAACGTGGTGTCTGTTTAATGTCTGTTTGATCTTACCAAGGGTCACCTGTACACAAACTGTGGTTTTTTTCATGAGCCTTCTTTGAAATCCTACGAGTCGTTCTCCTGGAAAGTTTGCCCCTGACTTTGTAGGCATCAATTATTATAATTTGATACACGGCTGCTGCTCTGAAGAGCCTTTGGTTTGATGCTGGTTGTTGGGACATGGTTTAAGAAGTGAAAGTATTGATTAAACTTTAGACATTTCTATGATCATACTTTTCCTAATGATTGCAGTGGACATCAGTGGACATTAATCCATATGAACAGTACTGCCATGCTCTGAAATTCTAAAAAAAAAAATTGTCTTACTTCAGTAATGGGGTTATGAGGACCTCTAGTGGTGAACCGCTACATCTGTTTGTCAGTGACTCAGCTCACTTGAGCATGTCATTATCGTAACGTTACAATATACCGTTAATTTTCTGATGATGTTCAGCCACGTAGCTCCAAAAGTGTTCCACTATTTGCTCTTATATTTCATGTTTGTTTACAAGTCAGTGTGGATTTACAGGACATGACACCTGTGGATTTGAGGCCCAAATCTTCTCGAATAGAATAAAATATTTGATTTATTTAAAAGGAAATTAGTTTAAAAAAAAGATGAGGTCAAGAAAATAGTAGAGTGAAAATTTACTTAAACCACTCATTACCCAGTGGGGAGTCTAATGATGATTCTGGTCTTTTTGTGAGAAATAACTCACAGTTAGTTAGGACGACTCCAACGACCCCCTCACTGATAGGGGCCCAAAAAAAGTATTCATGTTTTTAGGTTTGTTACCTAGGGGTCCCTTGTCATATCCTTCTTTGGGGCCTAGAATTCCAGCCAGTGTTCCTAGTAGTCGTAATAACGATTTTTATTTAGTGGGTTTTTTGTTGTTGTTGTTGTTGTTGTTTTTGACATTTTATTCCAAGGCAGCAAATAGGCTAGGGCTATGACTGCATATTGCTAATCTCGTATTTTGTTGAGTCTATATAAAAATAAATACTGTATGTACGAAGCGGTATTTGTTGGGAGGGGATTATTTGTCAGCTGCGTCTGACGTAAGACGCAGGCGTTGGTTTGTAGAAGGAAGTGAAAGGGGAAGAGAGGAGCTGGGATAGCAGGTAGTCAGACAGGCAAGCCTTCCAACCAAGTGCCAAATTTATCTTCTAGCCGCAGTTTAGCTACCTTTTCTGGTTGCCACCTTATTTTTGGGCGGTATCCCCCGCTAAAGATCAGCCTTTTTGATTAGAATCTCAAAACAAGGCATTGTGGGATTACCGTACGCTAACCAATAAAGTGTCACCGAGGCTAGTCTGCTGTAGACAACTAAGTAACGTAAGAGCTAGTTAGCTTGTGGCGCTAGCTGCCGAGTCGAATAAATAACAGCACTTCGGCTCAGTTCCGATACCGGTAAAAGTCTGTGTTCTGTTGTGACACCAGCTGAAAGTAAGTATTTGACACGTCAGAGTTGTTTTCTTGTATGTGTGTGTGTGACGAACCGAAAACGCACTAAGGCTAATGCTGATGTTATGCTGCTGTGGCTAATGTTAATGGTGGGGCTCCTGCTGCAGTGGCTTTTTTTTTCTTTTCGGGAAGCATATTGGAAAACAAGGCCGGCCTGTGGCTCCTCACAGTCCTGACTGCGATCAACAACGACTCTGGGTCGGTGTAATCGTGCGTCTTGTTTGCGTCGAACGACGGCAGTGTTTGTGTTTTAATAAATCATTTAAAAGTCTCTTGTTTGTACTTGTAGCCCTGACTCAGTCAGATGTACGGGTGCGGGACACAGTCGGGCCGGGACTTGTCAACAAGTGTTAGGTCCAGTGAAAATGTGTCTCACACCGTGTCTTCCGTTTGATAGTCTTTGTTAAATTGTTGGCACACGGGTGGGAATTTCTTTTCTCTAAAATCGTTTCTGTTTCGTTTGCAACTCACTTGTAAACATTTTTAACTCTCCCCTAGTCGCTGTTGGTGTCGTTGTAGTAAAAATTGTGTTGTTAAATATCAGGTTCTGACAGTATGAGACCAGACCAGTAATTCAATTGTATTTGTGTGTTTTTGTGGCATCAAACAAATGTTTTTTGTGACATCTCACAAAGCTGTTTGTTTTTTCCTCTGGGTCTTATAAAAGTAGAAATATTTTTTTTGGCAGTCATCTAACTTTTATTATTTGCCTTTTTATAATTCTCACTGTTTTTGTGTAGTTGTGGTAGTAGCATGGTAACACATGGTAACACATGGTAAATAATGTTTTACTCCTACTGGATTTGTCATTTAGCTAGAACAAGAGTTTATCTCTATAGTACATTTGGTTGAATTTAATTTTTGTTCAGCTGTCTCTCATACTGTGTTCCACAATATTTATATATCCCCCATTCATATTTGTGTACTTATTGGCAAAGAAACAATATCGGTTTACTTTTTTTTTTACCCTACTAACATTCTGAATGGTAAGATATAACAAATTATATATATTATACTATATGTTAGAGGCGTGTATTGGCAAGAATCTGGCAAGTATAATACGTGTCAAGATACAGGGGCAACAATACAACATATTGTGGTATACCACGATACTATAGACACGGAATCAATTTTGTTTTTTAAGCAATTCAATTGTGTGCAAACTGTCAGTACAGTAAACACAAGGCTGTGACATACGTAACGTCAAGTTACCAAAGTTGGACCAGATGGATCGACATTTGCTTCAGAATATTGATCCGATTTTGTGAAACTAAATATTGCGATGTATTGACGTTTCCCTACTATACATTGAAGCCTATTGTTATTTCGGAGGGGAGCAGCTCAATGACACAGCCCATTGATATCCTCAGACTACTGAAGCCCCTGTTCATCACATGAATGCACAGTCATAGAACATAAGGACGGTACTAAGTGTAGCCTCAGCTCAACCACTGCGTACATGTATAAACTCAAGAACATTTTTGCCTCTTTAATGCGTACCAGCTGTTTGTGGCAGTGATTTATTAGTAGAAAAACAACGTGCCCAGATTTGATACAAATGTTTAACATATGTGTATTCAGACTTCACAACAGAAATGTATGACCTTTTTAATTCCTAAATTGACATACTGTTCCTAAATAACTAATAACAGTAAACACCCTATTTATAGTTACACTCCTGTGTGTCACAAGATGCGGTCATGTTGCTGTCACTGGAACAATAACACGTGACTTTATGACGGCCTCGGCAATTAGGCTAATAAAAAATGCCAACTCCTCCAAGCATCTGAAACGGTATGCTCTGACAGATTTAGCTCCACATACACGCAGTTTTTTTACTGTAGCTTTTTGTCTGAGACATTAGTCGTTGTCATGACGGTGTAGAACACCTTGGTACATGTGGAAGACGATCTCTTGATTTCAGACAGCACTTCCTGTCAAAGATTTAAATCTGCCCTAATGAACCAATGTCTTAACTTTCTGTGGTTTGTCATGTGGCTGGTCTGAGGAGTCAAAGCTGCCACTCCTGTTCATGCTTCTGTCAACATGGCTGTACTTCACAACATGGTAGTTACTGGAGAGCTGTGCTCAATCCATGCAGAAATGCCTTTTGTTTTCACAACCAGAGTTGCTCTTAAATCTGTTGGAATGGACTGAAATGCTTAAGGGATTTGTAGACAATTTAAGTTAACTTCACTACTGTTTACTTTATTCACTCTCTCTTTCCTTTCACTTCACTTATCAACACTATCTTAATGTGCTGACTTTGCAAATAGGGTTATGTTCATTTGTTTAGAGGTTAGGTTCCCACACAAATGTGCTCCAAGAGAGAATCCCATGTACAGTACAGCAGACGTTACTCTGTTCATTTAAACACACTTTCAAATGCTTGATAAATTTTATTTGAAAATTAAGTAACATCGGTAATGACGTCCGAGCCCTTTTATTTTTATATTGCCACTTTCTAATCTCCTGCAGTTTTTATGTCAAACACTTTGTTAGTTAAATGTAATATTGCGTGTTTGTCAAACACTTTGTTAGTTAAATGTAAATGTATTGCGTGTCTTTAGTTTGATTGGACGACCTTGTCACACAGTGGAAAATGTACCAGTCTCTGGAATCAGACCGTGTTTTAATAAGTCTCAGTCCACTGTAAATACCATCTGAGAACTCTTTCCTTTGTGGCCGCAGGGCATTTTTCAGTAGCTTACAGAAACTCTTGTAGCTGTACTTTTCTCCATGTTGACTCAGCGTTGGTACAGCTCTTGAATGCCTAGGTGCTGTGTTTGAAGTGTCACTGTCAGGGAAAACACAGCGTTGCATGCAGGGCTCATAGGAAGTGGTCAAACTTTCTGTTAAATCATTGTGAAAGAGTTCCAGCCGCTTCACCAAAAGCAGATGGAACCGATGATCTGTTTACCTCCAGACAAGTCACATATGACTACTTTTTTTTACTCCATGACTTTTAAATTTTGAGACACATTACACAACTTCTTATTTTATCAGTGTTTTATTTTAGTCTAGTTCACTTTTATTTTAATACAAAAAATCCCACTGGGCTAAAACATAAAACGTCTCTCCTGATGTTGGTGTCATGTAATTTTTCCACAGAGACGTTTTCAGCCTGCCTGTGCACATTCATCCCATAATATTATTAATAATATTTGAATTACTTTACATTTTACTGGCATTGTCAAAATCACAGTCAGAGATTTATTTTCCTGTATGACGTCAATGTGTTTGTCTACATCAAGATTCCAAAATTTTGTAAAAAAAAAAGTTATATAATTATTTCATACCGTACGTTGAGTCTTCCTTCGCTGAAATCTCTTGAATTTAATCTTAATCTCAAATACCTTCTAAGAACCTTTACCAGAATCCCTGCTTCAAACCATAGAAAAGCCAGTAGCAACAGATCTGAATAGATTTAATGTAAACCCATGTGGTCTGTCACCACAACTAATTACTCAACATCATGTGAGGTTAGTGGTGGCCAGAGTAATAAAAGAAATGTCAGATATGTAACCTGGTCTGGCCTCTCATTGGCTGGTTACTGAGGAGGAAGAATGAAGTGACTCATCATTTGTCAAAAACACATGACTGAGATCAATGGTAATTAATTTTGGTTGTTTTCCGGGAGACGTTTTTTCGTGGACATTGGATTGTTTTTTCATTCAGTCCTTTTTTTGAATTGAAATGTCAAAGTGGAAAAAAAGAATAGTTCAATTTTTTTATTGTTATTATTATTCTTACAATATTTTTCCTGTGTTTCTTCCTGCAGCTGTGGAAAAATGACATCCAGGAAGAAAGTTCTCCTGAAAGTCATCATCTTGGGAGATTCTGGGTGAGTCACAACGTTGGACTGTGTCCATCACTGCCATGTCAATCGGCAGATTGTCTTCGTGTCATTGTCATCTCTCATCTAAAATAGTCCCATCTGCCAAAGTATAACGTTTGCAGGTTTTTTTCCCCCTTCTTGTTTATCAGGATTTATGACTGTTCTACTGTGACCTCTGCTTCATACCAAATCAGGCTTATCAGTCATTTGCATGAAAAGTAAACAACCAAAAATAGTTACAGCGAGGGCAACTGGATGAAGCAAGTTTGTTTTGAAGACATTTCAAAATAAAAATAAAAACTTTGTCCAGTTGCCCTCAATGTAACTATTTTTTGGATTCAATAACCTGGATGACTGAGAAGCTACACCAAAATAAACTACACAATAAACAAAAAGAAGTGTCACTGACACGAAGAGGTGGAGTCTGACCATGGTTATAATAACCCGGTGATTAGTCATTATATTTGAATTCATGCAGAAGCTCAAGCTCGTGTTGGTTCATGTTTATTTATTTATAAAAAACAATTTAAATCAGACTTTAAAGGCCCCACTCTCAGTCGGTCCAGGTTTTGTATCGACTTAAATTTAAAGTGTTTGACTACGTTATCTATAAATGTATTTACAAGTTTACAACTTTTTAAGACGTTACATTTGCAAAAGTTGGTTGACTTTAATCACTGAAACATGTGAAGACATGTCTTTAGGTGTTTCCTACAGCTTTGAGCATCAAGCTGTGTTTAATCCTAGACAAACAACATATTTGTAATATGAGCACACTTGAAAAAAAAGCTGATTATTTTGTGAACATTCATATGAAAGTGCTGCTGTAGCTGCGTCTGATTCCCCAGAACTGAAAGGACATTTAGGAGGAACTTGTTCTCATGCCATTGATGTGGTAAAATAACCGGTTGTCTGGTGTGAAAGATGTGCCTCAGAATTCCACGGAGATGGAAATTGGTAGAGAAATGGCTTTGTTATTTTTATTAAAAAAAAAAAAGTCATCGTTTTGACTTTTTTTGGATATTAACTTCTGTTAGAAGTCCTGACATTGCAGTGATCGTGTTTTATGATAGGCTAGAAACACTCTGCTGTCAGGAATGGTTTCATACACCATGTCTCTTTTTACTTCCCTTTATACTTTGGAACCACTGCCTTAAGCAGTGACTATGGGCAGAAAGGTGACGATGGTCATTTTGGCATTATCTATTATGGTTTTTGATTGGACTTTAAATGTATTATTAAATATAGAAACTCAACAAAAACGTATGCACTACTTAAATACTGCTTTTTAAATGTTTGTTTTATCGTCTCCGTCTCTTCACTCTGTCACCAGTGTTGGAAAGACCTCCCTAATGAACCAGTACGTCAACAAGAAGTTTAGTAACCAATACAAAGCAACAATAGGTGCAGACTTCCTGACCAAGGAGGTGATGGTGGACGACAGGCTCGTAACAATGCAGGTGCTGAACATTTGCAGAAACTTTTGGGTTTTTTTCTTCTCTCTATCCTCTCCAGAAATGTTCGTTTTTTTAACCCGTTATTTATATTTTACTGTCCAGATATGGGACACAGCCGGACAGGAGAGGTTCCAGTCCCTGGGTGTTGCGTTCTACCGAGGAGCGGACTGCTGCGTGTTGGTGTTTGATGTGACTGCACCCAACACTTTCAAGACACTGGACAGCTGGAGGGATGAATTCCTGATCCAGGCCAGCCCTCGAGATCCTGAGAACTTTCCCTTTGTGGTGCTAGGCAACAAGATTGACTTGGAGAACAGACAGGTTGGTATGAGTCATGTTGCCACACCCATCCTGCGAAAGTTAGTTCTGCTCAGACATTGAAGCCGAGTTCCTGTGTTTATGTGTAAGAGTTTCAGTATTTCTGTGGAGACTGTGACAGGGCTTTTTGGTTTTTTTTTGTTTTTTATCTGTGCTGTTAAAGCTTCAGGTTCCACACCAGTGTTAACACAGGTGCTGCTATGGTTCTGTTGTTATGTTGGTACAAATACAGTAATTGTCATCAATTACTGAAATTATTTTTTGCACAACTTGCTAGTTTGGATCTTGGATACAAATGATGTAAATAAATATTGGAGCCTCCTGGTTTCGTCGAGGTTATTTGTGTTTCACTAATCAAACGAGTGTTGCTAATCTCATCTTTCACACGTGCAGGTAACCACCAAACGGGCTCAGGCCTGGTGTCAGAGTAAAAACAACATCCCCTACTTTGAGACCAGCGCCAAAGAAGCCATTAATGTAGAACAGGCATTCCAGACAATTGCACGCAACGCCCTGAAACAGGTGAGTTACATTTGTTTATTAAATATCAGAAAAATAAGTGAAAATGCTACACAAGGAAATGGTACGGCTGGGATTACTGTCAAAAGACAAAGAAAATTATGCTTGTAATACCATTATTATAATATTATCTATATATAATTATTATTATTAATATATTATTATTATACAAATGATAACAATACTGTGTCAAATATTGGTATTTTATTTTTTGCCATTGAGAAAGTCAGATCCATAGTGTAGCGGTTAGCATGCCTGCCTCGGAAGCAGAGAGCAAAGAGTCCTGGGTTCGATTCCCAGAGGAACCACATGTGCTTGATAGGGGCAGCATATCTGCTGCTAACACAACAATATGGGGTCATTATAGTACAAATGTATTTATATTTTATTTGATCATTGATGATTTTTTCCATTCTGTTTTATTTCTTTAAATAATCTCTTTGCTTCGACTCCCGTCAGGAAACAGAGGTGGAGTTGTATAATGAATTCCC